AATTTATTTAAGAGGCTCAAGATATGGGATAGATTTTTTTTACACTTCTAAGCCAGTGCTTGTCTACTCTCCCACCGGATGGTAAGTGGTGCTGCAGCCAAAGATGATGAAGCACACTGACATATCAAAAGTCAATTCACTCTTGCTTTGAAGACACCCACATTCTAATCGGATGGAAAAAAAGAGGATGGCAACTTATTCCACTTCTTTGCTGTATGCATCCTGTATAAAACCGAAAAACTACTTTGCGCCTTCTTTGTGACTGTTGAGATTGATGTAAACAGATTTGGTTAACCAAAAAGCCTATTGCCACGCCTTTCTATTCAGTCTATGGCGGCGCTGTCGTCGCGCCACAAGCGAAACACATCGAAGCCTAAATCGCGCTAACAAAGTTCTGAAGTTAAAAGCGGTGTATAGAATAGCTCCGAACTACCACTCCGGAGCGTTAGCCGCTCCCCGGGCAGAACACCTTGCCCGGCGGGAGATCTCCCCTTTCCTTCCTACCGCCACAGTGGTGACCACCCGATGTGATATGAACACGCAACCAACAACCTTCGGAAACTACAACTTCAAAATCCTTCGACGTCGTCCTCAAGTATCCCATTCATTCGCTCCCGAGTAGATATTGTCTGCAGTCTTCATATTCTGCAAGCCATCTAGCTTTATAATGGTTCATCGCAGCACTGGAATAATAATGCTTCCTGTTTCTTCAAGCTACTCTCTGCGCTACAGTGTTCGGCACGACTCGGAGCCTTACTGCTCGCCTCTGCTTCACGGCACCGCAGACTACAAGGCAATCCCTGACACTTACTCCGGCTCATCGTTCTCACCGGCATCACTTGCAAGTGCGTAGTACGGCATACATTACACACCGGCATATCGTTCACACCAGTGTCACTTGCCCTTACGCACACAGCACGCATTCCCCACCGGCATTAAGGACGTACCGGCAATCGGACTGCACTATCGACCTCCGGTCTGAGCAGGGGGGTGATATGGCGACGCTGTCGTCGCGCCACAAGTGAAACACATCGAAGCCTAAATCGCGCTAACAAAGTTCTGAAGTTAAAAGCGGTATATATAGAATAGCTCCGAGCTACCACTCCGGAGCGTTAGCCGCACCCCGGCCAGAACACCTTGCCCGGCGGAAGATCTCCCCTTTCCTTCCCACCGCCACAAGTCCAAAGATTAGAAAAGTTAAAAGAGGGCCTCTATTCTGCTTTTACCGACGTAGTAGGCTATCGCAAGGTCTATTTCTCCTAGCTATACCTTGCTTAGAGGCGAAACATGAAGAAAGGATAGCGCGATATTGGCTTTAGTAATTTTGAGCGCCATCATTAAAGTCTGGTACATGGCAACACCAGTTACCACACCACCACTAGCGCCCTCTTTTATCGAGTAGCAGAACTAGGACAGTCAAGATCCTTCTAGAAATTTCCATCGAAGAACTTTTTAGAACTATCGACACCTAGTCAGTCGGGACTGGTATGTACTCGAACATTCTAGATGTTTCTACAATAGAAGGTTCTGTAACCCCAAGCTCGTAACAGTACTATCAATTCTAAAATAGAGCGCTTATTCAATGATCTACCACGCCCTCATAAACTTAATAATACCTATTTCTCACCAGATTTACAATAATCATACATTATGGATACCATACCATGAATATCCATTAAAAATAAAATAGAAATTACAGATTAGTTTTAAAAACAAGATAAGAAGTTACAAAATTCTTTGCAATTTTTTCTTTACAAGTACAAGTATTGTAAAAAACATGAATTAAAACTTTTTTAAATGTATTTGCAATTTTATGGTACTCGTATATGCAGAGAATGTGAGAGAAAAACTCTTTTGCAGCAGAGAAACTCAGTTCAAATTTTTCAACCAAACATGCTTAGATACTAAAGAACATTTTCAAGGTGTGCGAATTATTAGTAGTGTCCGACCGAAACAGAATTTTCAACCGAAACCGAAATCGTAAACGAACCTTCGGTTTGGGTGTTAGTTTCGGCTGAAACCGAAACCGAAACCGAAACTTATTTAGACATGTTAATTTTTTTAATTATATACACTGCTGTATACTGAAAACTGGTATATTTTTTATACATATACAGATAGGTAATACATGTTAATGAAAAACAGTCATTGTAATAGTCATGTAGCAATATACTTATTTATGGATGATAATAACCCCTGTGAATGAGGTAATCACTATCAAGCTATTTCTAATTTGGTTTTTGTTTTTAATTGTGTTACATACATGATTGTAAGCAGTGGCGTAGCTAAGCATGGGCAAAGTGGACCCCCGCCCAGGGCCTCGCACTTAAAGGGGCTTTGCGAGGCCCACTGAAATGCGATGCCCCCAGACTTTACCACAGATGAATAACTAATTTGATCACTTTTACGCTCGAAAAGTAAAGTCACAAATTTAAATGTGTTTGTTTGTGGCCTCGCAAGAAGCCCCTCTTAAGTGCGACTGTGAGGCCGTTATAACTACCTTCAAAGACCGCGACTGTTACATTGACGGAATACGAGACTTGTCAGGAATTAATAGGTATGAGTAGGTATGTCGTGTCAAAGCATCTTTAGTAGGATAGGATATTGGGTAGATCCTTGGAACGAAAGAAAAAGGTCCTCGCTGATGCTACTTCGTACACGTTTATATTAGTCCACGCTACGCATCTGATTGTAAGCTGTTATTTAAAAAAAGTCCCGCTGGGTTTCTTGCTGGTTCTTCCAAGGATAGTGGTTTTTTTCGAACCAGTGGTAATTAAACAAAAGAGTGACTTTCAATAAGTATTATTTATAATCTATATTGAATAAAAAGTTTCTGTTTCTGTATAATTACGAATAATACACGAGTCACGAACTCATCTAAACGACGCACGATAACCCACAAACACTGAGTTTCGGCGCCGCCGAAGGTTCGGTAGATTTTTTTCCGAAACCGAAACTATTACCGAAACTAGATTTTTTGCCGAAACTTGCCGAAACCGAAACCGAATCTTCGGTCGGTCACTAATTATTAGGTCTAGATAAATGATAAATTAAGTTCAGAGCAATAAAATTTATGCATATAAAAACATCCAATCAATCTTCTTGATTATGGAACCCAAATTAATGAAATTGTATATCGTCGTTGTATACAGTCGTGAGGACTAAGATGGAATGCCTCTTTTCCAGTAAATAGGGTCTTCAGTTCTCTATACTCACCATACTACACACCCCGGTCGAGCCGACCTATTCGTGCTACAACTATACTATTAATATAGCTGCTGCATGGCTCTGCCACGTATAAAAATACGTATGGAACTTTTTATTCCATACTCTGTAGTGCCCATCGGAAGCAGATTCCAGCCATGGTTTAGTCGCTCCTGTAAAATAGCATCACGCTATAAGCAGAAGTGCTACCGGGCCTGGACTGACGAATCAACATCTTGGGATGTAAAAACCATCGCTCTTAAAAAGAAGCATAATTCCGCCTACATGTCCTTTAAAAGAGTCATTGCCAAAGCAAGGTGTGAGCACATCGGCAGAATTGGCAAGAAGCTAGTTCACCTTCCTTCGGAAACCCGTGCATTCCTGTCCCTTGCTAAGGCTGTCCAAGGGAACTTTTTTCAGCCATCTCTTCCATCTCTGCACCGAGAGGATGACTCACTGAGCCATGCAACAAAGGAGAATGCCGACCTGTTTGACTCTCTCTTTGCGTCTATTAACTATCCCGCGGTGTGAATGCACCATGCTGGATGTACTGTTTACATAGTGCTCAGTTCGCAAAGCACTTTTCTCTCCCATTGTGCTGAAGACGTGTGCTCTGGAGTTGGCACCGGTTTTAACGCATCTTTTCCGGTACTCATACTCCCTACGTGTAGTCCCGAATTCAAGAAGACAGCTTTGGTCTACCCGATCTTTAAAAAAGGCGACCGCTCAGACCCATCTATCTAACAGCCTATCGCCGTCTACTTCTTGTTATCCAAAATAATTAAGTCCATTATAAACTGCCAGCTCATTAGGTTCCTTGAGAATCACCAGGTGGTTAGCAACCGCCAATACGGTATATCTAACTCATAGATGGGCGGAAGCAGTAGAGTCCAAAGGAGAGGCATTGGCCGTTAGTTTGGAAGTTGCGAAGGCCTTCGACCGGGTATAGCGCAATGAATTCTTTCAAAGCTCCCTTCTTTTGGGCTTCCCGAGAAATTGTGCAATTTGATCACCAGTTTTCTTGCTGATCGGAGCATCAAGGTAGTAGTAGATGGTGCATGCTCTGATTACAAGCCTATTAACGCTGGTGTTCCACAAGGCTGCGTGCTATCACCAACGCTGTTTCTTCTGCATATCAATGACATGTTGCAAACTAGTAACATTCATTGCTATGCAGACGAGAGCGCTGGTGATGCCTTATACACCGGTCGTGCCAATTATTGCTCGGGAAAACGTCGTTGAGTACCGGGAAAAACTTGTGTCTGAAGTCGAGTCTTTGCTGAACAAAGTCTCAGATTAGGGGTGTCTAAATCTAGTCCAGTTTAATCTCCAGAAGACACAAGTTTACGCGTTTGCCACTAAAAATAACCTCTTTTTTGTATCTCCTCAGTTTCAAGCTGCAACAGCTAGGATCGGAATTCTCGGTGTCGACATATCGAGTGATGTGCAGTTTGTGGTCACTTGGAAGGAAAAGCCAAATTTGCCTCTAAAATGCTTGGCGTGCTCAACTTCTTTTAAACAACTTCTATAAAAATAAGTAAAATTGCGAAAGAAAAAATATCAAAAAGTGTAGTATTCGTGATTTGAACTTAGGTTTGAAGATCTCGTGTGTCCGTACAACGCAGTAAAATTAAAAATTAAATGGGTAGACTGAAATAACGCTTGAGAAAAGACAAAACTGTTTAAAAGTGGTAGATTTTAAAAGTTGTTGGGCATATTAGTGTTTTACAACTTTCAAACGTTACTTTATTTAAAAATTGTCTTAAAAAGTTAACGGCGTTATCATAAAAGTGAAAATGGATGCATATATTAGTGCACAATATGAACTATTAGAGCAAATAAAACGTACTCATAGTAATTTCAAAAAATTACCGAAAGACAGATTAAATATAAATTATATTAATACGAAATTGCAATTGTTAGATCAATCATGGTCGAATATACAAGAAAATCACATGAAGTTATTGCGTTCCTACGATAAAAAAGTACTTGCAACTACAAATTACGTGGCTGACGATATTTATTTTACTGCGGAGGAAGAATACACTATAACTAAAGTTACTATGTTAGACAAATTACAAAATATTACTCCGCAAATCCAAAATCAAACTATGGATAAGACATTAAACTCATCTACTGCCACACCCGTGGATATTAAGATACCTATAATAAAAATCCCAACATTTAATGGAAACTATACAGAGTGGCATTCGTTCCATGATCAATTTGTATCATTAATACACGATAATGTAAGTTTAAAGAATGTTCAAAAACTACATTACTTAAAGGCGCATGTGGTAGGTGAAACAAACAGCAAACTTAATCATAAATATTGCCTTAATAGATAAAAATTATGAGTATGCATGGGAAAAACTTAAGAGAAGATTTAGTAACAAAAGAGTAATAGTTAACGCATACCTACACAAAATAATATCAATTCGAAACATACATACTGAATCGGCTAACGCAATAAAATATTTGTTAGATACGACAACGGAATGTCTAAGTGGACTTAATAGCGTAGACGTAAACACAGATAGTTGGGATGCAATTGTGATCTTTTTAATAGTCAACAAATTAGACACAGAATCATTAAAACAATCGGAAGAAAAAATAAACAGAGAAAACGATGATAAGCTTCCTACCTTCAATATGTTAACATAATTTTTAGAAGCACGATTCAGATCTTTAGAAGGTATTCAATCAAATCGAGTGAACATTGGACGTCCCAGATAAAATACACAACTAAAAGTAGTAAAACTGAAAGTAGAAAATATATATGTACATACTATAACGGCGACCATTTCATACATAAATGCAAACAGTTTATAGCTTTGAGCTGCGAAGATAAAAAGAAGGTTATAGAGGAAAAACAACTCTGCTTCAATTGTCTTGATCCATATCATGGAGTCAAGATCTGTAAGCATGACGCTCAGTGTCATATATGTGGCAAGAAACATCATTCGTTAATACTTCCACCTCCTAAAAGTATCGATGAGATAAACACAGCATGTGTCAGAAATAGTGAAGAGACTTCAGTAGAAGAAATACAAAATACAGAATCTATTTTCAATGATGGACAAGATATAATTACGCACTTAGCCATGGAAAAGAGACAGAATATTTTACTGTCGACTGCATTAGTCAAAGTTCTAGCGGAAAACGGAAGAATACAGCAGTTACGAGCATTGATAGACCAGGGCTCTGAAGGGTCTTTCATAACCGAGTCAGCTGCCCAAGCCCTAGGTGTGAAAAGAAAAACAGTCAATGGCTCCATCAGCGGTATAGGAGATTCAAAAATCTTTAAGGTTAAACACAAAGTGTGGTAGTTACAATTAAAGACTTTTCTTTTTCTCTGACTAATAACCTACTTGAATCTATAACATCCTCCCCACACAGAAAAATATGATAGTAGAGTCGATATAATATAATTCAAAATACTTAAACATAACATGTAATCGAATTAAGTTAATTTTAAGTGTATTCACACATTCATTACAAATATAGATGAATTCAACCACTTCAAATTTTAATGTTAATTAGAGAGCATTATTTTAAATAAACATTCCTAACTAATTGACTAAATGCATTTCGTCAACTTAATCTAAGAATCTAATCTTGGAACATTAATTACTCTACCATGTCTAGTACTAATAGAAGATGTTTGAGGTAAATCAGATGATATTATGTCCGAATTCAAAGTCGCCTGGGAACTATAATCCTTAATGTTAGGGTTAGTCTCTGTCTTATTTCTATTAGTAGATGGACTGGCCCTGTGCCATTCGTTTTTAACTGTTGTTAATTCCAGTGGGTAAAGACCTTGTACAGCTCTAACCAATTCACCGGTAGCTGTTTGTACTTTTGCAACTCTACAATTACCATCAGCACCTATAATTAACTCCTTTATAATACCTAATGGCCAATATAGCCGACTAGTGTCAGTTTCAATAAGAACAATATCGTTTAATTTCGGCAAATTTTGTTTACATCTATCTTTACTACAAATTATAGCAATATATTCGTTTCTAAAACGTTGTCGAAAATCTGCACGTAATTTGTTTAGATATTGTAAACGAATATTTATGTTTTTTGCATCAATCAGATCTAAATCAGGTATCTCACTATTATCTAAGGGATGTAGAAACATCATTGGAGTAAGTGGTTTAAGAGAGTCATCAGCTGTTGCTACGTATGTCAATGGTCGGCTGTTAATGATTGCTTCGCAGTCACAAATTATTGTTGATAATTCAATCAAAGTTAAGGATTGTTTTCCCAAGATTCTTCTTAACATTTCCTTTACTACCTTTATAAGGCGCTCCCACCATCCTCCCCACCAGGGCGCACGTGGAGGTACAAAACGCCACTTGATAGCTGGTGGAACTATGCTAGTTGCTGCTTCGACTTTTGCCCAATCAACCTCTTTTAATAAATTGGCTGAACCTTGAAAATTCGTACCACAATCAGTATATATAATGTTTATGCGGCCCCTTCGAGCTATGAAACGACGTAAGGCCATCAAGAAACTATTTGTGGATAAAGATTCCACAAGCTCTAGGTGAACTGCTCTATATGTAGCACAAGTAAATAATACTATCCAACATTTGCTTTGGTCACGGAGATGTAGAGGTCCCGCTAAATCTATACCAGTTATCTGGAATGCTGCATTTGCCTCAACTCTGTTTGATGGCAATGGTGCTTCAGGAACCTCGTAATGTTTTGTCTTGTATCTCTTACATATAACACATTTAGAAACAACGCTTTTAACAAGACGTCTTAGGTTTAAAATCCATAAATTGTTTCTGAGGTTGGATAGTAAGAGCTGAGTTCCTCCATGATTTAACTTTTCATGTCTCTGTCGCACTAACCGCTGTACGATTTCGTTTTTTCCTGGTAGAAGTATTGGCCTTACAAAATTCTTGTCTTCTTTACTCAAATCTAAACGTGTTTTTACTCTTATCACCCCATCGGCATCTATTTCTGTATTTATATTATGTAACGAAAACCCTTCTGTAAAATTCTCTTTCTGTAATAATTTAATTAGTGTCTTTTCTGCATTGATATATTCATCATTTGTTATGTCTGACTCCTTTATGTCAAACTTTATTTTTATTTTACAATTCATACGTAATATCCAAGCCACAAGTCTAACTATGCGGTTATATTTTGAAAAATATGTCAATTTTTGACTGAATGGTTTTATTGTGACATTTGTATTAATCTTAGCGTTTTTGGTTACTTCTGCTTCTATAATCTCTTCATTGACATTTATAATGTTTGATTTTGGCTAATCCTTCTCATTAAGCTTCAACCATGCTGGGACTTCCCACCAGAGAAATTTCAAGTAATCTCGATCTTTTTCTGCAATAGATATCTGTAAAAATGCTTGTTTTATATCAGATATAACTCCATAAGCACCTTTTATAAATTGTATTAATAATTTTGGTAACAATTCAATCATATTAATACCTTTATCTAAACAACCGTTAAGAGTCCATCCATTGTTGTCTTTTGTAGAAGCATCAAATACTGGACGTACACGTGTTGTCATACTAGATAATTTAATAATACTATGATGTGGCAAATAGTGGCCTGTATTTGTATCATTTATAACCCTCTCAATGATATCATTTTTCTTCCAGTCTTGAAGAACTTGATCATACATTTTTAGGTTACCAGTTGATTTTAACTTTTTTGTGGTTGATTCCAATCGTTTAAATGCAACTTCATAATTTGTCTTGAGTCCTGCACACCCCTCTTTCCATAACAATGAGACTTCATAACGTCCTTGTGCATTTACTGAAATGTTATCATTGAAAATTTTCAAAACCTCGACTTCAGTATCCTTTTTAGACTTATTTTCATAAGGGTCTCGAATTCCTAATAACTCAATACTCCACAAATCAGAAAGATTTGTTTTTGAAAAGCATGTAGTGCTTGATGTATTGACTGTACTTTGAACTTTTATTGGTCCCTGTAATGTCCATCCTAACTTGGTATTAACAGCCATCAGGTTGTTACCTAAACTAACCATTTCATTATGTATGATGGATCCTAAGTAATCCGACCCAATCAAGAGACTTATCTCAGTATCTGTATAATCAAAATCACTGATCACAATATTCAAGTCCCGTAACTTCTCTAATATTTTTTCATTATTAATTTTTGGCAGGTGCCCAAATAAATCAGACTGCTGTAGTGCATTGATTCTAACAGAAAACCTATTGTCTAAGCTACTTACCAAAACATCAAAGCATTTATATACTTCGGCAGGCTGATCTACACCCCCAAATAATGTGTGACCTATTATTTCTATGCCAGTCTCATGCAATCCTAATTCTTCAACAACTTTGGCTTTTACATACGACCTTTGAGAACCACTGTCTAACAAAACTCTCACCTTCTTGATTTTTCTTTGATAGGTGATATTGACAATGAGTGTTTGTAACAAAGTTGTCATATTAGTTCTGGCACATAACGAAACATTTTCCAATGTTCCACTCTTTTCTTTCTTATGAATTTCCGGACATAAAATCACATAGTGTCTTTTTTCACATGATAAACATCTAACAAAACTTTTACATTTATTAGCCATGTGACCTTTTTTAAGACATATGTAGCAGCAGCCTTTCTTTTTTATTGCCTCCTTTTTATCCTCTAGGGACATCTTATTAGCTCTACTACATTCAAAAGAACTATGATTGCTTTTGTCACAAAAACAGCAAATAATATTGACTACTTTACCTGACTCCTTTAGTTTTATATTTGATACTAACGATGCTGCTGTTGGTAAGCTGCTTATTTGTTCCCTGTGGAGAGTGTGATTAGTACCAATACAATTAAAATCGGACCTCGCTAAATTAATTCGCTCTTCTGTTTCTACTTCGTTTTTAAGAAAATTTAATAAACTTGTCAATTGGTTACCAAGAGATGGATCAGTGTTACATCTATTCCAAGCAATAAGAATTGTTTCGGGAATTGCTGATTCTACAAGGGGATACAAAATTATTTCATATTTCTGTTTAACAATACCTAACGTTTCTAAAGGCATCACATATGTTGAAATTTTGTCATATAATAGTCTAATAGATACTTGTTTTTTATTATTGTTTAAAACTAAACTTAATAATTCCCTAACATAAACCTGTATGAGAAGATCCTCCCGTCCAAATCTTGCCTTGAGTTGTTCAATAGCCTTTGTATAATTCTCAGCAGACGGAGGGAAACTTTCCACCAATACTCGAGCGTTACTATCTTCCTTCAATGATTGAAGGACGTACTGATACTTATCGTCTCCAGACAATGAGTGATCTTCGTCAATTTTCTTAAATTGGCCCCAATAAGCTAACCAGTTCTTCAGGTTATCATCAAATTTCTTTAGCTCATACTTAGGTAAATTGTAATTCCTGGCTGGCTTTACATCTTCAATCTTATCAAGAGGAATTTTTGACGATATAGCTGTCTTTATCTGATTGTTAATTGTGTGCCATCTGTATTTATACGTGTCCGCTGTATCAATTTCAATGCTGAAGGATTCTTCATCATAACTGTCGCTTTCTAACATGAGGTCTTGTATCATTTTATCTAAAGCTTCTAATCGTTCAACCTTACTCTTAAGAAATTCAATGTCGATCAACACTTGCGAGAAATTTTCGACTTTGATATCAGCTTCTAGCTTCGTCGCTGTTCGGTTGAAAATTCTTCTTAGTTGCTCTCTCTCCCGGTTCTCTTTAATCGCCGCTGCAGTCTCCATTTTTATTTAATATATGTACTCAAATCTTCCAAACTACTTATTTTATTATAATCTTAATCAGACTTCCTTATTTGAGCACAAACTACAGCGGACATTCCGGACTTATAAGTTAAATTCTTTGCCTCACGGTCGCCATGTGTGGTAGTTACAATTAAAGACTTTTCTTTGTTAATTACTTTAATCAATATAACCAAGACAACAAGTTAAAACAGTTATTAATTATAATATTTTCTTCATGTCCATTAAAACATCCTATCGTTACTTTTTCATTTTTTAAACATCATGAATCAAAGTCAGAATAAAAGTAATATATATATATATATATATATTGTATAACCATAGGCAATAGCTGCCAGTATTTTTCTCTGACTAATAACCTACTTGAATCTACAACACAAAGTAACCTTTACTTTGCAGTCTTTTACTGTAGACAAATTCAACTTAAGCGTGGACGCCTATATACTAAAAACATTAACGCGATTGCTGCCATCAACACAAGTTCTGTTAGCATTTCAACATATACAAGGCTTACCTTTGGCAGATCCCACTTATGGTATACCAGGGAGAATAGATTTACTTTTGGGCGCAGCAGTATACAGTAGAATCATAAACAACGGAGTAGTAAAAGTTCCACCTGGCTCACCTTTAGCTCAGAATACACAACTAGGATGGATCCTTTCTGGTGAGATAAATACAAATTGTAACGAGAAAAAAAATCTATTTTAAGTATGCATCTTACAACTAACAAGGAAAATGAACTGTTACGAAAATTTTGGGAAATCGAGTCTAGCATTCCTTGCACTTCGAAAAAGTGAATGACAGAAGAAGAGTTAGAATGTGAAATGATTTATGAAAGCACATACACAAGAGATTATGAAGGGAGATATGTTGTGAAATTACCTATAAAAAACTCAAACATGGACTACGGAAACACTAAGAATATAGCAAAACAAAGACTAGATCAGTTAGAGAGAAGATTAGACAAAGATATAGAGTTAAAAGAAGAATACAATAAGGTTTTAATGGAATATAAAGAATTGGGACACATGCAGGAAATCGATCGCCGTGAAGCAATCAGATCCACAAATGAAATTTTTTATTTACCGCATCATGCTGTAATAAGGAGAGACAAAACTACGTCAAAAGTTAGAATAGTCTTTAACGCCTCCGCTAAAGGACCAAAAGGAAAGTAATTAAATGATAACCTGTATGTGGGGCCAACAATACAACATGAATTAAGACACATTGTCATGAATTGGCGAACATACGAAGTAGCATTTGTTGCAGATTGCATTAAAATGTACCGACAGATTAAGGTTACTGACAAATGTGCAGATCTACAAAGACTGTTCAACTGTACGTGTCTAAGATTTTGCAGATCTAAAACCTTGGGAATATTCCAACAGGTCTTACGTCATATATTCCAGTCGTCACAACAACCAGTCGCAAAAAACTGCGCTTTCCTGTACGAGGCTGTCCGCCGTATACCTGTACATAAAATCTGAACATAATAACCTCTAATTTTGAATTATTTACAATAATCTCTATGACGAAAATTATAACATAGATGGAATAAAACTACTTTTACGAATTTCATCTCGTTTAATTTACTTATTATTCATTCCCGACGTTTCGTGTGTTATTGATACTACTATGTATTCGCGTAAATATAAGAAATCATTATATAAGATAGATGAAAAATATTAGTGACATGCTTGTTGTTTTAGTTCGGAAAATATTTTTGGAGCTTTCTCCGTCTATTTATTTATTTTATTATCTAACATTTATTAAATAAGATCCATTTCACCAACTTGAAGAATGAAAGTACCTTAGCTAATCTAAAGTACTTATGTTATATCAACGCTCGAACAATTGTAAGACCTATCCAATTACTAATTACTATTACTAATTCTTTTTGAGCATTCGGATGAGTCAGCAATCGACCTTCCAAATAAAATCCCTAGTGTATATTCGATTCATTAGCTGAGAATTCCCACAAAAAATGTGTAAATTTGTAATTTATCTTAGTTACACGATTTACTCTGTTCTCATTCATCGATTATTCTGGTCCAATAAGCGACAGCTATTTTGTTATAATATTTCAAAAGCTATGGGGTCCTTGTAGCGCGTTAAATGAGATGGAATATATTAAGATATTTTGTGTTTTCTCTACCACCGAGCAATACCATTGACTAAAAGATTTTCTTTTATTTTTCTATTGCCTTACTTCTCATAATAATGTATCTCCTGATAATAAAATTACAACTGTGCAAAGGAAATAATAAATTAGTAAAAAGTACCAACACATCCAACACTGCTCACTTAAATGGACTATTTATAAAGTCACTCCAGGTCCTGAATTAAAGATTGATGAGGCGCTTAGTGAAGCTTTCTAAAAACAAACGTTTCTTCGTATACCGTTTTACGTT